TGGGGGGCGGCCGCGGCCTGGCGGGGCCGCAGGGGCGGGCCGGACGTGAACACACACAGGCGAAACAGAGAGCGAGTCTTAATGCGCCTTCAAAAAAACCGCAGTCGTAAAAAATAAAATAACTGCATTTCAAATTTCTAAAAACGTTTGTGAGGAAAAAAAGAGCTAAAAGTTAAAAAAACATACAATACGTTAAACAACATACAATAATGCTTGTTCATCTGCTGTCAGAAGGCAAAAATATATTAAAGCACTCTTACTCCAACATTGCTCGATTTCTACGTTGCCCCTCTGCTGGAACTTGGATGTAGGTGCCACCCAACACCCCCGACACTGTCTCACGACCTCGGCGTGGGCACATCGGGAAAGCTGAAGGGCTGAGACCAGCCTCCACCTTTCCTTCAGGAAAAAGGTCATGCAAGAGCGACTCAACGTATTTGCTAACTTACTGCAAACTGTAGCACTTCCCTTTCAGTCAACAAAGCCCATAAGCCCCTTAAGCGGCTACACCTTTATCCCAAGCATGACAGCAGCAGTCGAAGCCCACAGCTGAGCAGAACAGATAGTGACAGTCACACAATTAAAATGACATACCGGCTTAGGTATTTGGAAGACTGGGTCTCATTTCCATTTTTATTTCTTTCTGTGGCAGGTGGTTGTGTAAAAGTCAAATAAGGTATCACACAGGACAGTGCATTTATGCTATGGTTCATTATGGTTCTTTTACCAAAACTACAACACTACAACTTAAAGAAAAAACCAGCCCCAACAAAACTAAACACAAACCCCAAATCAAACCCCTCTGTTCACTGCATATCACTTTATTTTAACCTCATTGACAAGAGTGTCTGGAACTGGTAACATCAAGCCAAACAGTATAAAATAGTTGATGAAAATACTACTGTTGTTTAGATGCACATTGCTGCAACTCAATGGTTGTATTTTCCCAAGAACTTGAAGACTATTTCTCTGTACAATGGCAATATGGCAATACGAAATCATCTTTCTCCCACAGATTTTAGTTATGGTTTGCAGACTAAGAATCAATGTCTTAAAAGTCCAGAAATTCTTGGCAACACAACATTTGAAACATCCATATGCAATAGAGGTAAGTTCTAAGTTAGCACCTGTGCAATGGAAAAAAGGGGTGGATCAAAAATACAAACTATATTTGACTCCTTGAGATGGATGGGCATTTGTTAAAGGCTAACAGAAGGCCCAGCAATCAATATTTCAATGGAAGATGTGAAGAAGTGAGAATTTAATGTAAACTAAAATCAAATGGTTGCTCGTGTTTCTTGTGGGCACATTTAATTTAAAAAAGCTTTTTTTTCAGTTATATAAAGCAACTAAACTAAAGTAAAACAGCTTTATGACTTAGGTCAACATTCTGTAGCCCTCAAGTACAAAAATATAAATACAAACTGTTTAAACAGTATCTTTAATGAGATTCTGGCAGTAGTTTTTTTATCTAACAAGACATGTCACATAACAGATCTGCCACTGAACTTGCTTAGAGTAAAATCAGCTTCAATATGAAGCTGTTAAGGTATCAAAACCCTGCTTTTTACATGCTAAATAACTTCAGCAAGTGTGCACTTAAACACAGCAATGAACTTAACTATAACTAAATACATACATGAAAATCTGCATGTGAAATGTAACTCATAGAACTGGTTACAACAAATGATTACCTGCATTTTGTTAATTTAAAAATGGTACAAATCATGCAAAACAATTCTAAAGCTAATGCAAAGAAAGCTACCAGTGTTTGCAAGAAGTTTTCAATTAAACCAAAATTACATTAAATGAAATATGCATATTTACTAGCAAAGGTCTATCGCTATTTTGTAAAAGCAGAGGTAAAATCTTCAGGTTTTGACTGTCAGTTATACTGAAAAATGTCATTGCTCTTGCTTAATGCAGAAGCACATGCTTGGAAGCTCAAAACTGCTCATTCAGAAAAGCCTGCTGACAATAGCTCTAGCTTCCCAGGAATGCAGAGATGCATGGATTAAAAGGAGCAGAGATTTGCAAGAATCAAAGGCACCCCATTCAGGTAGCCAAAATGGTAGCATTCCCTTTCTCATAAGCATGGAGACGGTAATGGGGCAAATGATACACATTTCTACAAAGGCAGCCTTTTAAATGTTATTAATTTTCCATTAGCAGACACCAGCTTGTAGTAGTTTATGCATAATATTAACCTGCAGGATAAACTTGGGATTTAATTTGTTGTGATTTACAAATAAAGACTATTACTAATGCTTCAAAATACTATTTTTACTATCTAAAAAGTTTAACTCTCATTTTCCAATATTTTACATCTCAGCTGGCCTACCATCTCATATTGTCTCAAACATCTAACACCACTTACTGGAATTTTATAAAAGTTGTACCTCATGTATTAAGCAGCAGGCAACAACAACGGTCTTTCCTAGCACAGCTGCATCTGGCTGGCTACTGAAAGATTAGGAATATTTCTAAAACACAGGAAAACTCATGCAGTTTGGTAAAGTTTGCTGTCATTTCACAGTTTAAGTTTCCTTTAGTCATTGCACTTCTGTTGATAGTCTCAGGTTGTTTTAAAATATTATTCTGAATCTGAATTTGAACCAGCAGTCTTCTTTTTCTTCTTTTTACCATGTTTCTTGTGCTTCTTTCTCTTTTTTGTTTTATCCTAAAAAAAAAAAAAGGAAGTTCTTGTATAATTACAAGTATTGTAGTATTACATTCTGCTAATGCAAAATGACACAGAAAGGATATCTTTTGAAAGATATTTCAAAAGCAGTTTCTACAGAAGCCTATTGAGAAATCACACAAAGAAATACTTTACCAAGCAATTTGCACTACTATGAGCAGTCTTCAATTTCAATTTATCTCCACCATGGTATGGCTATTTGATACCTCTCATCACTGTCACTATTACATTTCCTAATATTTTAAATTATTTTCAGAGCATTCTAGATTACTGAGAAAGTAATAAGGAAGTGCTTTGACCAGCAGTGACATATTTGGGAATAACTAGGATGCATACAGATTTTAAAGTAAGCATTTAAATTCACTGTGTAAAATTAAATAGCTCAACTGCACGTGGTTAGACTATTACTTGTACCTTGTTTAAAATAAAACAATTGTGATCTCAACTCTAAATATAAATACATTCAAATTAACCCTACTGGATTCAGCCCTGAAGGTAGTATGCTGATCACTGTAATACAGAAGCTAAGAGATGCAATCTTGTCTTTTTGCAAGCAGAATTTCAACTGAAATTCTCAAATGGGTGTGGCATTACATACGTGAAACAATCAGTATTAAAGCTTTGTTTTATACATATTCCTTATACATACAAATATTTTATGAAAAAGACCATAAGCAATCACTAGAAATGTTATGGAAAATTGTTCATGAGTCTGAAAAAACAAACAAGTTCCATGGAAAAATGTGAACTAAGTATCACTAATACTCCTATGCCTGCTTTTTTATGTAACTAATGTTGACCTTCCCTTTGCCCTACCTCAAGAGGGCAACTGATAAGGAACACTGCTGCTGACAGGGGAGACAGATACAAACACATCCCAAGTGGGCATTTAGGATCCCAAACCCACTATACTCCTAACTGAGGAACCTCAGGTACATGTAGTAAATCTGCATTCTATATAAATCACTGCTGAACCTTCCTCTCACTTTTACCAACAGATACAAATAAAAAATATAAGAAAAGTAACAGGTAGCTGGCAGCTTTTTATTTGGTTGGGAGAAGAGTTGTAATGGCATTGATGTTGCAGCAATTATGTCCCAAAGCCCTTTCCATGGCAGCAGAGAGGGCTTACCAATGAATTACACACAATGCTAATAAAGGAACAGGCCTGAAGTCTGTGTGGCAAACTGCTCCCCTACTTGATACCACACAGATAGGTAAAAGAGTGAAAAATTCTTCTTTACATAGTATTTATATCCTAAAACTACAGTAAAAGGGATACTTGCTGTTTTCTCTTTTTCCTCATTGCTTTTCTTCTTTTTCGCTTGCACCTAAAGAAAATTAAACCAAATGTAGTATCCATAAGAAGTTGATTCTCAAGAAAATTAATTCAAAATTACTTGTAGGTGATAGAAGTTAAATAATCCATAAAAATTTATTTTAAAAGGAAAAATAAAAACAACTTCTAGTGCACTGCACTCTTCAATTTCACCTGTACAGTGCAGAAGAGTTTTAACAATGCATTAAATCTAAGCTAGTTCATTCACTCGCTGGTGAATGAGTAAGCTACAAGCACTATAACATCTGAAACTGAGGATTCACACTGACCTCCTCTGTCTGATCCGATTCAGATACAGATTCTGATGATAAAGGTCCATCACGATCTGCTTTCTTCCTTTTCCTGTGGTGATTTTTACCTTCCTACACAAAACAATAATTTGTGAGTAAAGTCAGAGCTTTCACATTTTATAAAACTTCTACTTAAAATTTAAGATTGAAATATCACTTCTAAGTTGTGAAATATGTTAAAATATTATTGACATTCAACTAACTGCGTAATCATCATCAAAGTACTCTACCAAACTGTTAAAATCAACGTTTAGTGAAAATAATAATTTTCTGTATATTCCTTTTTCTTATTATCAAGATACAGCCATTGTCTAAAAGTGAGAGGAATAACAACAGTGTCTTATTTTAGATAACAACACATGGAGGAGTTAGCATTTGAAAATAGAACATTTGACCACTTTTAAGTAAATAGTAACTGAAGATGTCATTATACATACAAACACTATAGCTTCAGACTCTTGTTTTGTTCATGAAAGAAAAAGCTCCCTCTGTATTCATGTTGAACCAGGACAAGCTGTCCCTGCCAGCTGTACTTCCAACACATCATATTTTATTCCTGTGCATTTAAAAGAGTTTTTTTTAATTTCTGATGCTGTGTGAGATTGTTCTGATGAGCTACTTTTCTGCTCCCTGCACTTGCTTTGCTCTGGACAAGGCAATGTGCTCCTAAAGACTGAAGGTACTTTCACTCATTCAGTTTCTAAGACCAGAAACTTCCCACAACACCTCATGACAAGTACACAGGATGCAGCCCATCTGACACATGGGGGATCTGCAGGTAGGAGAAGACCTCTAGTCCCCAAGTGCCCTTTGCTTTCAAAAGATGTGTGGAAGTAGTGCTACAATAAGGGAGCATGGCAGATACTTGATCTTCAAAGAGAAGCCATTCAAAAGGATGAGATGAGAAATGGACACTGTAAAATAGAAGCAGGAGCAAGCGGGGCAGGGGGCGTAATCAGTACATTTGCCTTATGAAATGGAGAATTTGTACATCAAAGTCAATACTACTGACCAGAGGAGACAAGATAAGAAAGAAAATTAACTGGAGAGAAAGAATAGGGTGGACTCTGAAAGCATTTTTAGTTCATCCACAGTGTATGAATAACAAAAATTGAAATCAATTAGATTGTTTACATTAAAGATAATAGATGGTGTGGGTGGTGGGAAGGAGAGAGGATTTTCATGCTTAGAGAAATGACAGAATAAGGTCATTTTTCTTAAGCTAATACATTTTTCTCTGCAATTCTTCACAGCTGTCATAAGTATAGTATCTGTAATTATGACTGCATTTAAATAAAGAGATCCTCTACTTAAGTTTCTTAATTTATAGCAACAAGTCAATAACCTACCCAGGTATGCCACTGAAAATACCATCACACACATTTTTAGCTCAACGTGACAGCTAAAAATGTCAAAACACTAAAGATGCAGCTGATGTACTATAGCAGATTAGATACAGTTTTCATTTACCTTTGTAACAAGAACAGATCCAGTGGTTTTCACTAACAATAATTACTAAACAGGAGCTGAATCCAACCAAATGTCTAGTTCAAACTGGGTGCACTGAATACCTTCTGACTGTGTGGGTTTGGACAGATGTAAAGTAAGGCATTCAATATTAAAAAAAGATATATCCATTATGTATGCAAAATGTAGTTCTGATCAAAGGATTTCAAGAATAAAAATACCTTCTCTTTTTCACAGTCCTCCTTTGACCTCTTCTTTTTGGTGCTATCCTAAACAGAAAGGAAAACAAATCACAACAAAATTATTTAATGAAAAAGGAAGAAATCTCCAAAGCGGTCTGACCAATAGTCTTTTTATGTCTGTTGAAGGTAATTCTTCAAGATTGTCCTTTCTACTGTGCAGTTGACAAGAATTATATAAAAAGCTGTAATTTTGATGCAGCTGCTAATCTCCTGATCCAGCATCATGATAAGGTCTGTATGGAATGAGGTAAGAGCATCCTTGCTGGACAATCAGAGAGCCTCTGGGAAGGATATGAGCTGTCACTGCTGTAACCATATGTAACACGTAACAGTTGGGAATATTTTTGCTTTATCCATGTCCATCTCTGCTGATCAGACTAGGTTAAACATTAATTAATTTTCCCTCATGTATCTTCATGAGTTTTTTGAAGTAAGGGTATCTCTGGGTCCCTTCATATATGAGAAGCTTTTAACCTCCCATTAGCATAAATTCATAGGTGTCTGCAAACAGTCATTCATTACCATTTATATCCCACTGAATTAGGTATTCCAATGAAAACTGGTGATAAAGTCTACACAGAGAATCTTAAAAACTCACTGTATTATTAATATTTTAGCAAGAAGTACAGTAACTATACACCGTAAGACAGAAAAATGCAGTTGTCCAACAGGAAACTACTCAGTTATTTAGAAAGACAATGTTCTGGCCACTGCTATACTGCATTTTCAGATATGGTGTTCAATTAAATTGTATATTCAAAAGGCATTTTAAGTGTTAATGTAGTATCAAAATTAAACATTTGAGCGGCACAAAAGCTGCATATGTCTGGATTCAAAAAAAATGACTACAAATTGCTGGAATAAAGCATGTTCATCTTCCAAAGATGCAAGGCTTTTGATCTTTACACATGTGGCCAGTGGAGGCAGATTCCACACTGCATGTGGAAGATGCAAGTGGTGCTCAGGCCCTATGAGAATACACGGCATTAAATGTGGAAGATGAAAACCTGTATTAATATATGTTAAAGTCAGAAATCTTTATGGTTTTTTAACACCACCCAAGAAATCTTGCCAGGAACAACACATCTGCGTATTTACCTTGCTGTCTGACTCAGATTCTGAAGTTGTGCTTGCTGAAGATTTCCGTGAGGAGCGATACTTCTTTTTCCTTCTTTTCTTCCCTTGTTTTTTATCCTATCCACAAATATTGTAGAAAAAGAAGAAAAAACACAAACTTGAATTTATTCTCACTAGAATTAAAGATTTGCATTAAATGTAAAGAAAAGGAAACATCAAATTCCTACATGTTATAATGTTCTCCTGAAGAATAAAGTACACTACACTTGAATATTTTAGTGGAGGACCTTCATAACTCTTCTGCATTGAAAAAATGCAAACTGGTGAAAAATCCAAGCTCTCTAGATTCTGTTTATTATTTAGATGTGCGCTGTAGAACCTGATTATCTGTAACAAAGATATTTGCTAGAAAGTAAACATGGTATTTTTGCATTTTCATGATTAGATAGGGGATTCTATCAGAAGAAGCAATTCAGTGTTAAAATGGATCTAGTTTACAAGCCAGGATGCCAAAATCTGTAGTGTTCATATAAAAACTTTTGACTAGATATATATGTCTAAAATTCACGACTTTATTATATATACCAAATGCATAAAAACTAAATGGTTTTATCCAAACCAGCCCCTCAAAATATTCTAAAACATACTATCAAAATCTGTGTTAAATAAACCTCATGAATAAAATATGATAGATACCAGTAAGTTAGCTCTTACCTCATCTTCTGAATCAGATGAACTGCTGGAAGAATCAGAGCTTGATGAAGAAGAGGAAGATGAAGACAACTTGACCAAACACAACAAAAAGTGAAGCTTGTGAGATGCAGCATTTTGTCTGGCAAATATTCAAAAACCTACCCAAACACTCTCTTTAAAATGTCTTAATTTTCAAAGCATAACCACTACAATTTTACTTCTAAGAAGCTGGTCTTACATAGATTTTTCTTAAATAAACCTCTAAACCACTTCTAACATTTTTCTTTTAATAATATCTACTTAATGCTCTTTTCCTCCCTTCCATTTTCCTTGTACCGAATGTATGCAAACCCTTTCTAAATAAAAGTAAGTTAATTTAACACCTAAAATCAAAATTAGAGCTATACTTTCTCTTTCCAAGAGAACTTAAATGACAAACAGCCACAACCCCAAAGCAAAAAAGCTCAGAAAACTGAAAATTTTGCTCACCCTATTAGATTTCTTCTTTTCCTTTTTCTTTTTCTTAAAAATAGAACAAAACAAATGTTAGTTTAGCATCATCTTTTTTTGGCATGCACTTAGGTTTACAAACTTTGATGCTAGCTTTTAAAATGTATTCACGAAATTCTGTGTTGGCAACACAGATGATAAATCCAGTTCCAAACACAGAATGTATACAACTGAAAACAACTTACCTCCTTCTTTTTGGAAGAACTCTCATTTCCACCCAGTAATTTCTCCCTGTGTTTTTCCAGTTCTTTCCTCCAATTCTGAAAACAAAACCAAACGGAAACAGTAACAGGAAGGTCATTTCTGAACAGTTCTTTTTAAGCTCTCCTCTACCAGACATTATAATTTTAATAAAACCCACAGAAAATAAACAATATATGATGTTATCCAAAGCTGTAATACACTTGATTTTACAGAAGATTATTATTCAGCAAAATACAGTGTTAGTTCACACTTAAATGTTCAAGTTATTTGGCTTTAAGAGATTGCCATTTATCTTGAAGGTCACCAATTACGGTATTTTTGTTTTTATATCACAGTGTTCTTGCTAGAGCACTTTAGAAAACCAGGGTACCCTATGGATGCTAGCTTTGGAGCAGGCTGCAGAGAGCTGCAGAAACTGTAGGCCCCATGGCCTCTCAGTCCTGCCTGAGAAGCTAGCCTGGGAAATTTAAAGGAGAATTTCAAAACAATCCTCAGAGACAGAAAACAACTGCCAGGTGCTGTTTGTCTGTCCTCTTGTTTTCCTTGCAGGAGAATGTCAGGGGGGTGTTGTGCCCCACTGACCAATGATGGTGATGTAGCACTTTACTAACCAATAAGAGTTTCCTTTCTGTACTTTTCCACGTATCTGTCTATAAGACAAAGCTAGAGCAATAAACTAGAGAGATTCTCCTGTTGTGACTCCCTTGAGAGTCCGTGTCGTTCTTTATCGCCGTTCCCAATCAGAACGACAGTAGCATACCAGAAAAATGGTGATTTTTGTCTCAGTTCTAAAAATCACCTGAAACAAAACTTCGAGACAACTTCTCCTGGCCCCTCTTCAACGTATGGGTGTCTCTAGTGTGTATTTTGGGCCTTGTTGGTGTCAGCAGTAATTATACCAAATTAATACAGGCATCTTCATAGAAATGCTCTTATTCTGTTATAGCCCAAGTACACAAAATGAATGAATAATAACCTCCTCTCATTCTTCCTTTTCAATTCCCCACCTGGTTTCTAGATTTACCTAAAGTGTCCTCTTAGTGAGCTGTGAAACATCCAGCCTGCCCCCATGAAACTCAAAGGCTGCTAGGTTCAATCTGCACTGTCAGACACATCATGTGCTCCCTTCTTTATTATTCTGATCCTCACAATGAAGCTGTATTGGTACTGAACTGGCAAAACAACGGTGATCCACATGTTGTTTGCTGAGGGGACAGAAAGACCAGTAATCAAGTAACCTGTGCAATACAGGATGATACACAGATCCCCACATCAGCACACTGTAAATTAGCTGAACAGAGCTGCTGAGGGACATGGCAGATTAGACAGGATGCACTGTGTAATGTGCTCCCATGGACCAAAGCAGCATCTGTGGCTGTGTACTTTGATATACGAGGCACCCAGAGCTACCTGAGGGGTCTCTCACAACAGCCTGTGCTTCATTATTTTAAAGACTGTGCTAGTGTTATGTTTTAAACAGAAATGTCTGACAACTGTCAGTAAAATACAGGAGACAGCACCTCATTCAGAGCCTTGTGATCTTTTCAGGCATTCAGAGATTTGTTCTTAGGAGCTTTAAGAATAATTCATAGTCATTTCATGATTCCCTGCATCCTTTCCTACCGTGCTAACCTGAAAGGTTGGTAGCTTCTATGCATGCCAATTTCACTTATTTCATATTAAGCAAAAATAAAGTCAGGAAAGAGTATGATAGAATACTAAGCCAAAGTCACCAAGCTAAAACTCAGAGTGCAGAACAACTGATGCTCTCAGAACAGCACCCCATGGCCCTCCACATCCTGGTACAACTTCTTAGGCAAAAAGGTACAGCAAGAGTATTATGGGTACTATGCCCTTCCAGTAACAGAGGAGGAGCATAATCTTCTTCAACCAGAAATGAACATACAATGATGAAGATTACTGAAGCTTATCTCAAGATACTGGGACCCAAGAAGGAACAGAAACAGTTAAATTCATTGTATACCGATTTTTCCCTTACACACAACAGGAGTTACACATGAAACTCTCTAATACTGTGCTGATCTTCAGTAGGTACAGAACACAAACATCAGAATAGCTGCATTTATATCAGGAAACCAGCATGTGTTGTAACCAGCTTAGGGTGAGAGAAAACAAGTGCTTCATAGTCCTATCTGACTGAAAGTCATGCTTTGTGCCTTCTTCCATAATATTACATGTATATTCCTTGCTAAAGACATCTATTTCCAGAAACACACTTTTTTTCACTGTACTTAGATTCTGTGACCTTAAACAAGTGAGTATTAGCACAACTTTGGTTTATCATACCTGAAAATGCACTTTAATTTACTGATATAAGTACACGCGTTTGTATAAATATATTTACATTTATGACAAGGTCAAGTTTTATTCACCAGCAATTTAAAAAATGTTTTATATAGTTTTTTCTCTGAACTGAAAGTAGCTCTTCACTGGTGAAGTTGTAAATTCAATTTCCAACATTGAAACATTCCAACTGTTAAAACAGTAACTCATTAAAAGCTCCAGTGAAGTGAAATATTATGGCTAATTGATACTGTAAATGATAACAGAAGTAGCATGTTAGATAAAAAGAATCATGTATTAACTAATACATGCTAATAACATTACCAACCTCATTCATCTTTTCTTCAAATTCAGCCAAAGCCCTGGATCCTTTCTTTTTCTTTTCTAGTTGCTCTTTCACTTCTTCCCTGTATGAAAAGGATGATAGATCACAATTTTTCCAATTAACAATACATTCTTCAATTTCTAACTTTTCTGTGGAGTTTTTCTGAAGTTTAGCCTTGGTTGAACTTCCAAGAGAAGGAGAATGAAAGCATCTTAGATGTTACACATATGGTAACCTAACCCTAATAACTTAAGTACGGTCATTAAATCCCTCCAAAAGATCTAAAGCTAACTTCGCAATTAGGTGAATTGTTCTCTAATGTCTCACGAGGGCAGGCAGAGGGATTGAACATAAAGGAAGTTGTTGATAATATCTAAAAATGATGGTTTTGTTGGGTAGGGTAAACTGGGTTCTAAGAATATACCAGCAAAATGGCTCTTTTAGAGATTAATTTGTTTACAAATTAAATATATCTACAGGGTCTAGGTATTACAATTTGAGAAAGAGAGAAAATTACATTTTCCTTTTCTGAGAAACTGTTGCCAAAAAAATATAGACAAATGTAAAATACACATTTCAAAATTATATCCTATTGTTTTTAAAAGACGAGATTGAATACATGTTTAAAATAGAACACCTTGGCCAGAGACAAGAAATCTTTCAAAATCTATTACTGGATATTCCGGGGAGGAAGTAGGCACCAGTGACATTTTAGTAAGAGGGAACAAATCTTTTACTTAAAAGGTTAAAAGGGTAGACAGGCAGTGCCACTTACCATGTTGGTCTTGGCCTGTTCAAGTAGTCTTGTATTGTTGGTCCTGAATTTGGGGCAGGACCTCGTGCCCTGGCCATAGCTATGGGATTCATATAAGCCTTGAATATGAAACAACAAGAAGAAATACCAAATTCATCAGTTACACTATGATACCAAAATATCTTGTTTTTTATTCACAGAAACTTTTTATCACTCCCTGAAAAATAATTCTGATTTGTTTCTAAGAATATAAAATATTTAGCTAAACTGAGTTGATTCAGTATGGCAGAAAGACTCAGGTAAGTGCTTTCAGCTGGAGTTATACTGTGGCAGAAGGAACTGATCCACAAAAAGACCATGTTCCTTACAACAATTCCCTTCCTTCAGCAATGATTTTGCAAACTAAGAACAGTATCATGATTTCTGAAATAAGTCTTCCTTGGGATATAGAAAATGTAATTAAATTTCAGCTCTCACTCTCTAGGACAACTGATCCTATGCCTCTAAAATTCTGTTCAAAGTTGTTGACAGGAGTCACTAAATTCTGCATGAAATTTCTTGCCCCAAAACAAGCGAGCAGTGGTACTTTGCTACAATTATACATGTATCAAAATTCTGTGACTTAGGGATATATCAAGGAGGAAAAAACCCACAAAACCAAACATAATCCAACTGTTATGAGGTATTCCATCTTTCAAACCTATGCATCCTCTTTGTGTTATGAAAAATTAAATTAAAATGTAGAATTCATAATCCACCTCACCAGTTAATGGAAAAACTCTTCCATAATTTTTATGTCAACAATATTTTGTTCATGTGAAAAGGAGGTTTCATTCATTTTTATCATTATGTCATCCAAACACTTTTTTTCTGCAGAACATAACATGCACTGTTCTTACTGTTGAGCTTGGAGATGAGGAGAAAGATCAAATAGCCAAAAAAAGGACTTGCTTTGGTTGCCCAACCTGAGACAATTTTTTAAATAGTACATTTTGTAGATCCAAAGCAGTGATTTGACCATCTGTGTAGCTCTCACATGTCCAACACTGTTTTTTATCAGGCATTCAAAAACCACCATGCACAGTAAGTGAGCATTTGTGAAAACTGTCAGAAGCAGCAGCTGCTGCCTCCCCTCCTGTTGCTCCCACTGCAGAACCAGTGACCACAGCAATGCTGAGTTTCTGGACCGGACTGCAAGCAGGCTGGTGGCCTTCAGCTCTTGGGGATACATTTGGTCCTGGGAAAGGCTCTTCAGGCTCTGCCTGGAATGAGGCATCTGCCTGGAAGGAAGCACTACCCACACAAATTTGGCTGAGATTCACCAGCTGGACCACTCTGAAGCAATCCAAGGACTCCTTGAAGTGGAGCATTTTTTGACTCAAGTTGACTTTGCAGCTCTAAGGGGACATTTTCTGCCATTTCTTGGGGCTTTGCTTTGTTGCTTTAATTCACACAAAAAGTCTAATTAACATGGGCAAATAAACACGGAGGTGTGCCAATTGAAACAAGTAGCAGATGGATGTATGCACTCAAGTAGTTACAACACTTAAAAAGGCATTCACATGACAAATCTAAAAATGAAGAAAACTTCTGTAATTGAGTTCAGCTTCGAGTGGAAAAGGAGCTCCTTTAGGAATGCAGGACAGCACTATTTTAACACAGTTTTCACTAAAGAAAGGTAATTTCAATGTATTAAATCCACTAGAAACTTGGTTCATTCCAGTGAGCACACTGACTTTTGGTTGCCATTCAAAAATTTGTATCTGAAAGCTCTTCTTACGCAATTATTTTTTAAAAAATGAAATCTCATGCTGCTCTTAAATAAAAATCAGCTAGTTTCCTACCTGAGCTAACAAGTAATGAACACCTTACCACTTCCCAACAAAACTCTCTACCTGAAGAAGAGGCTACAGCTGTCAAATGCTGATTTTCTACTTGCTCAAACTGCCCCTGGATAACTGGCCAGTAAGCTTCCTCCCTTCAGTGATTTGTTTAACTTTACCACAGCAAGTACTTGATGACTGTGTATGGCTCTATATTCCAGATTTATGTCTTAAGACATGTTCTTATAATTTCAACCAGGTTTATTTATGAAGAATTACTTCACCAATAAACATTTCTGAAAAGTATTTACACTACTTTGCCAAACTGCATGTTACTAGCCAGAAGGAGCATGGAAATGCCCTCTCAATAAAAAAAGTGATTGTCTGCACATTCATTTTCTTCTATCAGCAGTTTCCTCATGCAGGTATTAACCAAGGTATTTGCTGCATAGCTTCCTTGCTCATGACAAGTGTAAGACATCTTCTGTCAGGCAGGTTTCTCTGGGCAAGCAGTACTATTACTGCCTTGCAAGTGTCCTGTAGATGTGCACAAAGCATGCTTATTTTCCATCTCCAAAAACTAAAAAACTATGCTGTATTTAAGAAGGGACATGGCAGAGAGTAACAGGAGAAATCTCTATGATCATACATGAGGAGCAAAGGGTCCTACATTATAACTTGTCTGTAGGATGCATTATACCATGATGGCATAATTAACCTTTTATAGGAAGATAAAGATTTGCTGGCATTGGTAGGTTTATCCCAGCTGTCCCATTAAAAAAAATAAAGAGTAAATAAATACAGACCTGAAAACCTTACAGGACATTTGAATCACAGATCCAGTCTTGAAGCCTAATACATTGTCAACTCTTTCTTAATAGACTGCATTTTTTGATAGATCAGCAAAGCAATCAGAGGGACTCTGCCACCAATCTATACAATATCTGAGTCCTTCATGTCTACTACCATACTAATACACCAAGGTTTGCCAAGATGTGAACAGATCCAAGTATAAATTCATGGCACATACAAGAAATGGAGAAAGGGAAAAAAGTATTATGATTTGTGTTTAGTCATAAAATTCAGCAGCAAACTTACACTGTTTAAGTGATTACGAATAGAAGGTAAAAGGCTAACTGGTACAAAAACATTAAAAGAAAAATAGGAGGAAGGATGAATGTGTTTCAGTTATGTATGAACTCAGGCTCTGCAGTCAGGTGTGTAGAAGCGCATTTTTTGCCTTCTGAGCGCTGGCTCCCGAGGCAGCAGAGTGCGGTGTAAAGCTCAATTTCAGATCTCGGGTACGGATGAACACCAAGTTTAAGGAAATGCGGCTTAGCTAGGATCAGAGCTACTTCAGCGACTGCTGCAACTCCCATTGGGAACATTTTATTTTTGTACGGACCAGGCCAGCATCTTAATCTCCTTCCCTCGACAGATCACAAAGCAGCCGTCAGTCACGATGCTGCCGGATTTGACAAGGCAATCAGAGGTTCTGCCAGGGAGCCTCGAGCACGTGCCGAGGGAGGGACAACCCACCCACACGGGACTCCGGCAGATCCCGGGGCGCCTCGGCCCGGGCGGGGCAAAGCGCAGGGGACGGCCCGCCTTTGTCGCCCGCCAGCGGGGCCCCAAGCGCAGCCGGACCCCAGNCACTCGCCCGGCTGCAGCGCGGGGAGCGGGCGGGAGCAAGGGGAGGGCAGGGGAGTTTTACTGCAGGGCGTTGGGTCGGGCGGTGGCAGCGGTGGGGAGACACAGAATCACAAAATGGGACGGGTTGGAGGGGCCACAGTGGGTCGTCTGGTCCAAACTCCCTCATTAAGCAACGTCGTCATAGAGCACGTCAGATGATTCTGTCCAGATGGTTCTTGAATACCTCCAGTGAGGGAGACTCCACAGCCTCTATGGACAAGTGCGTGGTCACCTGCCCAGTAAAGAAGTTCTTCCCATATTCAAGAGAAACTTCCTGTGCATCAGTTTCTGCCCGTTGCCTCGTGTCCCATTGCTTGGCACCACTGAGAAGAGGCTGGATTCATCCTCTTGGCGCCCCGGTTTCAAATATTTATACACACTAATGAGCTCCCCTCTCAGTCTTTTCTTGAGGCTGAACAGATCCGGGAACCTCAGCCTTTTCTCCCACGAGAGATGCCCTTGTCCCTTCACCATCTCTGTAGCCCTCAGTTGGACCCGCTCCAGGAGCTCCTTGTCTCCCTCCTACTGAGGGGCTGCCGGCCGGGCGAGTGCCGGGACAGCCTTTGGAGGGGGAGCCCTGAAATGTAAACGTGCACTTGTATCCTGCGGCTCTCGTCTGGAATCTGCCTCCCAGGAGAGGGCAGGATTTCCTGGTGAGAGCTTTGTCTCCTCTTGATCCTTCTAGTGGTCAGTTACAGAGGGAACCGCAGTGTTCACTTTTGCTTTCGGTAGATGCATAGACGAAGGTATTATGAAACAGCAGCCTGAAACATAGAATTGGGTCCTATTTCAGGGGGAGGGGGGAGATAAGAAAAAGAGAGGGTAAAAAAAAAAAAAAAGTGTGTACTCATACCTCGTTAGCCATCTGCACTGCAAAATAAAGCACTGTAATATCGGCAGGGTTAATATTACATTAGGTTAATGGAAGTGCCAAGACAAGCCCGGGAGTTATTGGGATCTATTAATGTAGAATTTCAAAATGTCCTTTTCCCAAAGCATTACCATTAAAAATTACTGCGTGTTAGTCACAGCTTTGTAAAAATGGAGAAAAGTAATCACATGTTAATATGTTAATCATACCAAGCACAAATGAGTTTTGTTACTGAAATAGCTTTGCTGTCTTTATACTTGGGAAGAGCTAGAAAAATTGGTGAGCCCACAGGAATTTGTGATACCAAATTGCTTAGTAAAACCAAGAGAGCAGCCTGTGAGGAACTAGAAGGAAACTAAGAAAGTGACTATACTATATTTGCAAGTAAAATTTGTTCACTTGCAAATTAAATTTAGTGTTCAAAATTACATGACAGTGCATAAGGGAAATTTTATTCTTCAGCAAACAGCTGGTGTGTTCTAAAACAAGGCTGGCTACTTTGGAAACACACCAGGCAGAAATTCTCCCTGAGCTGCCTGCAACGCTGGAAAAGTGCATTGAAAACTAAAGAAATAAATTGCATTAAAATACATACAAAATGAGATTAGGAGTATTCCTAAATCTATTTCAATATCCATTTTGTGAAGCGTGGTCAAGTCCTTGCCCCAGATGCATGTTCAGATTTGGGCCATTCCGGAGTTAGGCCCGAGCCATCCAGCCTCAGGTGGCTGCCCCACGGCACCGCACGCGTGTGGGCTGTCCCCAGTGCTGCGGCAGCCCTGGGGGGCTCAGCGCTGGCCCCAGGTTTGGAGCAGAGCTGTTTGTGTGCCCCGTGCTGGCACAGCCGTCGGGCTGCAGGGCTCCAGGGGCTTCGGCTCAGCTGCAGCAGCGGAGGTAATGCCTAGGCTGCATCAAGTCTGCCAGGACAGAATGACTCTTCAGAAATGTTTTGACCAAAGTTGAGCTAAGAGAGTTTATTCATCCCACACTTTGTGCTGTGCAGCTTTGAGCCTGGTGCCTGGAAATAAAAAGACTTGCCATGGCACGAAGGCAGGGGTGCAGGGTCTCTCCCTATGCAAGCACTGGGGAGGAGGGAGTCCTTGGCTAGGCACTCCACAGTATTTTAATTAGACCCCAATTAGCTTTTCTTCCCTGGGCTGTGAAGGTTTGAAAGTCCAGCCAGACAAATCAGATTTCTAAAAATGGATGAAAAAACTTAGGGAAAGGACTTGTTCTAGGAGACTAAAAGGTGACCTTGTTTATCAAAGAGATGGGAGGTGGAAGAGCGAAACACTGATGAGTTCAAAATGAGAACTCATACAGATACTGTAAAAATCTTACTTTCTGTTTTTCAGTAAATGGCAGGCAAATGATAGACAAAGACAATGCATTTAAAATAATTTTTAAATGAGCGTTTGTTTCTATGGTGCTAACAGACGTGACACCTAGTGTCATTAGATAATTTTGAGGACAAGAGTAAAAGAACTTTTATGTGGGTAATGGGAAGAGTAACATTTCTGCTTTTTCCTACCTTAGTAAACTTTCCTTCCTTAGTATTTTGCTTACTGGATTTTTTTTTTGCTATAATTTTCTCTTCCATAATTGGGTCTTATGAACTCACCTTCTCACAGATGAGGGCTAGGAAGAAAATTCCCACATGAAGAATTTGTTCCAAAATTGTCAAGAGATTGTTGGACTTGTGTGGTGTCTTACTCTGAGCACTATCAGAAATAAAGCACCAGACAATATCCAGATCCCTATGGCAGCTTTTATGTAATGTTGAGTATTTCCATTATTCCCTTTTTTCACAATTAGCTATGGCTAATATAGGTATTTGTGACTCTGGCCTCACTGCAGCTCACTTTGTGTCTGTCCCTGGCTGGACTGCTGCTCATAATCTTATAATGTGCCTAAAGGCTAATTTAGAATGTCACATAATGCAAAGGTAATTTTTTATTTGTCTGTGTTGCACCTACCTGCAGTTTATGTAACTAATGCTTGTAAAAGACTTTCTTGGCTCATTCAGGTTTCCAAGGGCAGCACAAAGTTTTGATTCTAAGTTAAAAATCCTTCAAGGCTTTAGTGTCTGTCAGCTTTGCAGTCATTTCTGTCCCTGTGTCAGCTTTCATCCAGAAACTGACATGTCTTTGAATGCTTGAGCTGATAGTTTTTAGATTCCTGGATCTGGTGTCTTGTTGAAGCACACATTAGTAGAAGGTACTTGTATCCTGCTCTAAAGAGAACTTAATGAACTTTACAGTCAGCTGAAGCTGTATTTGAGGTGTTTTGATTCGATTTTTTTTTGGAGAATTTTTTGAAGTAAAACCAGAAAAAATGCAGCTTGTTTTGGAGCCTAATACATCATTTTGTGTTTGACTCAAAACACACACTATTAAAGTTCCTATATACCCAGAAATGTTACTAGTCATATTTATAGCTGTGTTGATTTGGCACAGCCTGGTTTTTGGTAGTGGGGGAGGGCCACTGGCTTCTGTGAGAAGCTGCTAGAAGCTTCCATCATGTCTGACAGAGCCAATCTCTGACGGCTCTGAAGATGGATATACTGCTGGCTCAGTTGGAGAGGTTAGTAATGCCTCTGTGATGACATATTTAAGAAGAAAATCAAAACAGGACTGGGCAGTTTTTTCCCAGGGGTGGGTGGTGAAGTCTGCTGCTGGGGCCATCTTGTCGTGGCCCACAGCTAGCCTTGCCTGCCTGGCCACCCCTAGCCAACTGTGCTGCAGACAGAAGGGCAGGGCAGCAGCGGCTTCTCCCTCCCAGTGCCTCACACAAAGGGAGGTGTTAAATGGCACCAGAGCCGCGGTGGCCGCCACTGCCTGCTCGGTGGTGCCGCATTGCCAGCAGCAAAAACATGGTGAGTGACTCTGCAGTGCGGAAACCAGGCGAGGCCGACCTCTCGGCACTGTGGGATCCTGCAGGAATCTTTGAACTGGTGGAGCTTGTTGGCAATGATACCTACAGGCAGCAGTTTTTCTTCTGGTCAGAGTAGGCGAGGAAGTGAGGACATGTGAGGGAAAACAACATGGCGGCACCAAGGCTGGGGGGAAAAGAAGGGGAGGAGGTGCTCCAAGCGCTGGAGCTGAGGTTCCCCTGCAGGCTGTGGTGAGGACCATGGTGAAGCAGGCCGTCCCCCTGCATCCCATAATGTCCTTGGGGGTGCAGAAATTCCACTCGCAGCCCATGAGAAAACTGGAGAGGGAGATGCCAGAGAAACACTGAAGAGGATGGATGCCAGAGAAACTTGTGATCCGGTGGGAAACTCGAATAGAGAGAGTGGGCCCTTCCTTCCAAACTAGAACAGCCCATCCTTAGAGGACTGCACCCCATGGACGAGTGGCCCACGCCACAACAGTTTGGAAAAGACTGTTTTTCTATGGGAGGGACTCATGTTGCCACAGCTCAGGCAAGACTGATGCTTGTGAGATTGGAGACACGGTGGAGAAGTTCACAGAGAACCATCTCCTTCAGGAGGGACCCCACAGCATAGCAGAGGAAGACTCCTCCCCCTAAGCAAACAGAAAAAGGTCTCCAGTGACAAAGTGACCAAAACCCCCAGGCCCTGTCTCCCTGCACTGTCAGTGGGAAGGAGAGTGAGGTGGGGGAGAAAAAAGGTGTTTTAAAGGCTTATTTTACTTCTCATTATCCTCCTCTGACTCTGTTAATATTAAGTTTACCTTATACCTTTAAATTTGAATCTGTTTTGCCTTGGAGTGTTTTCTCCCAGTCTTTAACTCATAAACCCTTTGTCAACTCTTTTCCCTCTCCTCTGCCCAGCTGTAGCAGAAGGGGGTAAGCGAATGGCTTTTGTGGGTGCCTGGTGTTTGGCCAGTGTCAAACCATGACAATAACCAATCAACAATAAAGTGTGCTCATCTCCTTAAAAGACGAAAACAGCAGAATCTTAAGGAAAACAAAAATACCATGCACATTTAGTACAGCAGTTGGAACAAGTGTCTGGGAAAAATAGTGCATTTCATGGACAACTGAGAACCATTATAGCTGAATTGAAGCACAGTTTGCCTACACCAAAACAAAGATTTCAGTAAAAACAGACCAGTGCTGAATCATACAGCATCCCCAGAAACTGCAGCAGTGTTTTGCCTTTGAAAGAGTGTAAACTCTTAAGATTTTAATTTATTTTAAATGGAATTCATTGTAGGTAAACGAAATATCTAGGAATGAGTAATTGGGATAAATGAGGGTAGATTTTAATAAAATTGGTATATAGGAAGGTGCTGGAAAGGGTGTGCATGTGCATACATTTCTGTGTCTGGTTGTGTGTGTTTGCTGATTTTCTAGAATACACAGGGTGTTGAGAAACACACTTGGAAACATAAAAACTGGAAACCAATGTTGCTAATTTTCTGTATTTATTATACAATACTTACTGCATTTGTATTCATTTTACATTTTTAGATAAAAGAAAAATATAGCTAGAAGGGTGAAGCAGTTTTAAATACAAAACTAATTTTCTGCCTTTTTACTTTTCAATAATTTGGGAACTAAAGAGAACTAGACACTGTGAAAATTTTTATTATATTGATTTTCATACTGAACCCTCAGCACCCAACAATAAATACACAACTTTGCTTTTCTTGCACTGCCAGCAGCAAAACGTTCAGTTCCAAAGGACTGTAATTCTGATATAATACATTATTGATAACTTTCTGTGTGCCTTAATTTAATTCTGCTGTATTGACACATTAGTTTTGCAGTCAACCATCTTTACAAACTTGTAAAAGCTAAAGAATATGTTAATACGGTAAGGTGCATGCTCCGATGAACTTCAATGCAGTCAACGTAAAGTAGCCCCAGCTGAGGGTGTTCTTATAGCAGAAAGCCCCATAGGGTGAAATTTGGGACACAGAGCAGGCATGCAGTTAGATCAAAGGGCTTTGTTTGAAAGCTTGCAAAGGGAGCTCTAGAGTTTCCAAAGTGTCTGTATTACTTCCCAGCCATTCTGTACAGCAGAAACTTACTTTTTCCCAATGTGTATATGGTAATCAGCAGCTGTGCAAGAAGATGAGAGGGTCTGCAAGATTTCCTGTACAGCAATGGTGCAAGATTTCTATATACCACAGTTCACATGCTGTAGCCCCTTGATGTCATATTGATGACTAAAAGGTAAACCAGTATATTTGAGTAACAATTCAAGAAATCGCTGTTACATTTTTCTGTACCTCTGCAGGTGATACTGTATTTCACACACAGGTGATTTTAATGCTGAATGCAAAGAATGTAAAGAACACTGACTAGTAACTATTAAGCACACAGAATAAAAAACAAAATGATGCACCTTTAAAAGAAACAGTAACACACGCACCTTTTCATGTTTGTACCCTGATTAGAAGAACATCATGAATTTCAAGTATGAAATGATACAGTGAAATCATGTCCTGTGAATAGGTATCAATGGTAGTTTAGGTAGTACAGTTTGCACTGTAGGTAACTTTCCATCTTGCAAAACAGAATCCTACTGCATGTGTAGGTAAAGTGACTTGAAATGCTAAAACCTGACATGCCAACTGTTGCACTGGTATAGACTGACATACAACGCTGTAGAAGTCAACAGGACTATGCTGATTTTCACCAGCTGAATATATGCCCTAAGGTGAATGAAGAAATGTATTCCAAACTGCTTTGCATGCTTTCCTTGAATTATCAAATCCGAGACAACTCCAGAGCAAATGATATTTTATGACAAAAAAAAGGTGAAAAAAGAGAGAAAAAAAATAATCCTAACAGCTTAGAGTCTGTTTCAATTTTCTTTTTCTGTTTTTTTTTTTTTTAATTATATTGAGAAATGAAGGTACAGAGAAAGATGTAGATTTGCTAATGGATGTTGGTCTGGTGTAATATCAATTAATAAAGCTACTCTGGATGTGTCTCGGAAGCTGTCGTCACTGTTCATACTATTCTGTAAACCTGAAACCACGAGTTTAATAATGCCTTTTGAGAACATAACCTATCTTGAAGATTCTAAACCCAGTATCTCTTGAGAGTTACAAACAGGCTTAACTTTATATGACTTCTGTTAACTTCAGTGGGATTTGTCACGCGTAAGGTAGGCACACATGGAGCAGTAAGAACTGAATCTTATTTCTGATACATTTCTGTACCAGCATCCCGCTTTTCTCCACATATCCCAATGCCACTAAGAAGTACAATTCTGACCTTTTGTATAAAAAAGAAATGAATAGAAATTTTTAGAGAAATAATGTAACTAGAGTTAAGATTTTTCTCACACATTACAATTTATATAGTATTCTTGCAGATTTACTACGCTTAAGTATCTTTATATAGACCTGAGCTGCCCGACACTGAAATTTTGGAGACTTACAAGGCCAAATTCTTGGTTTAATTTAACTGAAGTCAGTGGAATAACAACAAGAGTAAATCATACTAAATGATTTAAAATACTTTGAAACTCCAACCCTATTTTATGCAATTGTCCATGCACAAAAAAACCCCCCACAACAAACCACCACCTAAATTTGCTGCCTTTATGCTTTTATTTAGGCAGCAATCTTACTTCAATCCCAGATGGGCAACTTTATCAATGCAGAAAACTTTCTTCAGTTACAAGATGCTGCACAAACTTAATCTTCCCTGGCTTAAGCACCTGGAATCAACAGATACCTGCTGGGCCTTCTACAAACAAACAAACTAAAGCCAAAGGCAGCCTATGTAATGTTTTCTAATTTTAGTTTTTCAGACAACATCCCCCCACTATGTGTAAAATTAGCTCTACAATAGCATTTCAAAGTAATCTGGTTATTCCTTTACAAATTAAAACAAACAAAAATGCTCTAAAGCATAAAAAATACTAAATCTGAACACATATACTACTCTAGTTGCAAAACTCAATGCACAGTATGACGCTTATTTATGATTTTTTCAGACTGATCTATCTTACAGTATGACACTTACGATTTTTTCAGACTGATCTATCTTCCTGCCTCTAAGAAGCTAGCATCATTTCAACAACCAAAATGTGTACTAAATGCAAATAAACAATAAAGCAGCAAGACTCAACACATTTTTTTGCAACTACCCTTTCACAGGACTAATGTGTTTTCATATAAAATAATATACTAAATCATAATAGCAATAATTTATATTAATGTCAAATAACTTGAAGATAAATGTGTCAACATTTTCAATAAACACAGACTCCATTTACTGGTGTCTTGGTGCTGTTATTAACCATGTGTCCTCACAATTACAGTCAGTTACTGAAGGAAAGCCTTTTTCTGCAAACACTCTGTGAGCAGCTGCACTCACATGAGTAAGCCCTCTCTGCTCTGTGAGACTGCTCAGCACTCGTGTCTTTGCAGACATAGACCTTCAGACTGAAGAGTATCAAGCTAGTGAGGAAGTACAAATACACACTGTAACACAGAAAGTAGAAGACAGACATATGGATGAAAGCACCCTGTGATGCCTTTGGGGGTTTATAATATAAACATCATTTCCAAAGTATACAGTTCCAACTTGTAACACAGCATTTTGAGGGTATAATTTTTCTTTAACTAGAGCATTCAAAGACATTATACTTTCAAAGCTGCTCAAAGTCATGCAGCAAAATATTATATTAACAATAAAATCTATATGATATTCAAGGGCAGATTAATTTAAATGAATTTGAATTAAATGATTAATCTGAATGCTTGTAAAGAATTTACAAGGAAATTAAAAACTGCAAGCAACTAATTAATGTTCATCTGTGGGCTTGGTTTCAGTGCCAAAATGATACAGCATTGTGCAGAAAACAGATTCCACTGGAAAAATAAATGGCACCTTTATCTTTTCCTTATCTTCAGTGTTTTAAAATGTGTTTCTTGCCCTAGCAGAAGGGACTACCTTGCCAATGAATGGTGCCTGGCTAAAAGTCCTTGAGACTCTTTCAGTCTGTGTGGCAACTGGAACTGGCTCTCATTTCTTACTGAAAAGCACCATCATAATGTAAACTTCGTTTGCTCACATTGCTGTGACTCCAAATGGGTTGTAAGAAAGGAGTTCAATCTCTTGGCAAAGAGATTTTGAACATTGTGGAGAATAACAGGTTTTTAACAGTGCTTAATGGAAGGCAGATGCTGTGGATGTTGAATTCTGTTTGTTGGAACTAAGGAGACAACCTCACTCTCATGACCAGTGACAGGACTTGAAGCTGAGTCAGGGAGGGTTTAAGTTGGTATCAGAAAAAGGTTCTTCACCCACAGGGTGACTGGGCACTGGAACAGGCTCCCCAGGGAGGTGGTCACAGCACCAAGCCTGGTTCAGGCAGAGTTCAAGTGGTGTTTGGACAACACTCTTAGGCACATGGTGTGATTCTTGGAGTTGGACTCATTGACCCTGGTAAGTCCTTTCCAACTCAGCATATTCTATGATTCCCTTAATATTGACCACCACAATGTGATCAAAATTTTCAGACAGTGCTGGCCTTCTCTCTTTCTGAGATGATAAACTATAAAGTAATGCTCTTCAACTTACTACACACAACAGAAAGGAAAATGGCAGTAGGGAAGTGAAATAAATCAAACCAGAACAAAACAAAGCTGGAACACCACAGAGTTGCTAGTCACCTAAAGAGAAAAAAACTCTAATCTCATGATGCTGCAGTCCTTCTATCACGCACTGATAGGTAACTTCAGTTCAAAATGTGCATGGCAACCAATACTTTCACACAAGCACATCCCCCCTGAGCTTACATAAGCCACCTTCTACAGCCTCACATCCACAAACTTCTTGCCAGCATCCAATTTCTGATGCACATTTTCCTGTAGGTGCAACTCATGGTTACAGACACCTTTCTTGAAAGGTACTCCAAGATAAAAGTCCCTGCAAAAAATCATGGTGGGTTTTGGCTTTGCTAGAAAAACACTTATTTAACTAGCATGCAGACTCAGGCTACATTTTAAACCCAGTTTGGGGGATTCAACCACAGATGAAGGATAATTGCTTGAGATACATATAATCCACCTGGAATACAACATTTTGTCCTTTCCCACAAAATGTCCAGAATTCAGTATCATCCCTTTTGCGCAGAGGGAGAGTTTTCTTAGGGGAGCTCTTATATCACAGCTGTTTAAAATGCAAAAAGTAAAAGTCAGCTCTCATAGAAACAGTAAATGTCCCCTTTAGATGCAGGGAAGACTTTTCCTCAGGAGAATATTTTGGCATTTAAGGTCTGTTTGTGCCTAGTACTTGCTCTGTACTTTACGCTGTCTTAGCCAAAAGGGAAGGAATGAGATCCCTTACGTACATGAACACAACCTATCTTGAGAGCTGGGGACTGTTTCACAGTTGCTCCACACTGTGCTGGGAGGAATCCTCTTCCTGGGAACAGGGATCTTGGGGAAGGCGAGGGGAAGCGGGGTAAGCAGTAGGAGGCTGGCATTGCTAGTCTTGTATCCATCAAAAGCTTCTGTGTAACAGGGGCATCACTGCGTGTTCTTGTAAAAACGTGCATCACAGACAGTTGTTCAGGGATCTTCTGTGCTTAGTAGATGATCTTCTGAATCCAAAGTTGTTTTGGCTGATCAACTGAACATTATGTTCAATCTAGTCTGCTCTAGCTCATTGCTTGGCTTGAACCAAAAAGTGTGAAAGTAGCCATATTCTACTGTACTACTTCCCTGTTCCTAATGAGAATCAAGGGAAACCTAGAGTACAAATCACTGGCTGGCCAAGACTGAAAGTTGCAGAGTAAGGCAGTAATTTAGCTCACAGCTACTTCAGTTGTAGTGGAAGCACCAGCAGGGTCAGATACAAATGAAAGGTAATTGCCATTGCAGTGAGAGGAAGCAGGAAAGCTGGAAAACTGCTGGGGAATAGACTGGTCAGGGCTTCCTTCACAGTATCACAGAAGGATGATCTGGAATAAGGAAAGGACTGCTTGAGTAGCTGAGTGATCTACCATTATATGTATTTAACAAGAGCCAGAGAACTACTGCAGAGAAGTAGAGATTTCCCATCCCTGAAAGTCTGAAGTTTGTCTCTGTGCCAAGCCTAGTTGCTCATGCTTAATGGAAGGACTAAAATTAGCCACTCTGTGCCAACACTTACCCTGCCACCCATGCACATAGACTGAACACAACAAAATGCCATGCAGGCCTCCTATTCTGCATTTTTTTGAGCTGGCATAATAATAGTTAACAGTAGCTCTTGTTGGCAGAGCAGCTCAGAAAGCTCATTCCTACTCTACAACCTACAGAAAGTCTTTTCTTTTTCCGTGGCAGATGATTTTTGCATTATTATTTACACTGGGTGTTGGACAGACTTGCTAAGCTCTCAGACTTGCTCCTGTAAGATGGTGAACCACCTGGACTGAGCCAGCAAAACTTGCATATGGATAACCTTATCAAAATCCAAGTATGTAAAACCATGCCATTTTGGATGACCAAAGGATTTTCAATTTGCAGCAGGAGTTCTTCTAATGCACAACACTGCACACTAATAGGCACTGCCAGTGGCTCTCCTGCAGCAGAGCTTTACATTCTCCAATGTCTGCAGCTGAACTACAGGCAATGTCTCTGTGGACAGCTTAGTTTGCTGTCAAGCTCTCTCATAAGACTTTTTTTCATGTTTACCCAGAAAAAGCCCTAGCTTGTGCAAAATTTAAAAAATAGAGCTGTTGCTATGTTGAAAAAGTGCACTGGAACTCACGACTCGAGTTGGCATAAGTATCTGGAACCAAAATCCTGTTCATGAGTCTTGCTTTATCATCTTGTATGACAGGAGGAAACAAAACAACTGGAAAGAAGTCTTCCCCCTATGTTTATATGTAACTTTTCCACGAAGTCAAACTCACTTGCCAACTCTCCTACTCTCTGCCTGTTTTTTCTCTTTCCATCACATCACGATTTTCCTCCTTCATCTAGCTACTCAAAATTAATCCTAACATTAAAGAACTGGGGTTTTACTTTTTTTAAAAAAGGCTGAGAACTAGCATAACATGATGTACGTGTGAAACATGGAATAAAATGTAGGGCTCCATATCACTGAACACTGATTTCAAACCCTTTAGGAGTAATTGTACAAAGGAATCTGTCAGTCTGTGAAAATTCATTTTCCATTCAGTGGCAGACACTGTCCTCTGTCTGGATTTAACATGAGCATGTCAATGTGAGCAACTATCCATGTAAACACTAGAAAATGTGGGGTTTTTTCAGGCACGTGGATGGGTTTTAGATGCAGAAAGCTAGTAGTGTGAATGTGAATTTGGCTTGCTCAAAAATGGACAGTTAGCTTGAGAGCTTTACAGCATATCCTTGTAGACACCAAAGTAAATCTTAACATGATGTGTTTACCCATCTCCTTTCAAACAGTACACGATGCTTTAGTGCACATGAACATTTGAGTGGTAGTTCGAATAAATACATACTTGGATGCATTTTTTTTCATAAAACTCTATCAACTTTGCAAAGTCAGAGAAAAAGTATCAGTTTCAATGCCTATTTAATACATGTTGTTTGCATTTACATTTCTCACATCAAAAAAATGCTTCTTTTCACTCATCCAGACAATATTTTCCAAACAGCTCATTAAAAATCTCTTTTCTAATCTTTATCAAGTGTCAGACGTTTGTGGGTGCTTTTTTTTTCATTTTTTTGACGGCAGTATATTTTGTCTGACCCTTTCTCTGGAAACAAAAAAAAATCTGCTCTACTACCATCACCAACAATCAAAATACTATAGTAGAAGTTCTTTTTACTTTCTCTAGCCTTGCAAAAGTCTCATTAACACCGGGCCTGATAAAACCCATCAATATATCCCAAACCAGATTAAAATATGTAACATTAAGGGAAAAAGACCATTTGGTTAAGGAGTTTTGATTCATCTTTGCTGTTTTGCACAGTCTTTTAGTGAAGGCTGGAAAACTGAACATTGCAGAAGCTTCCACAGGACTTTTAAGTAAAAGCAAATTTTCCACTAACTTTACTCACAGCAGCCTTGGGTTTTTCAGAAACCGAAAGGCTCATCTAAGAATGGTGCTGGTTAATTTTAGTTTCTGATGAGTACATGAAGAACTGAGGGTATCTACTCAGCCTGAAAAAATCAGTTTTGAGAACAAGTTCCCACTTGATTCAGTTCTGTTTGGGTGCCTATCACTGAATTAAAAACATACACATAATTTTTCAGGAATACTTTTTAATGAAAAAATATGAGTTTCAAGATGTTGAGTGTTACAGCTAAAGTAATGATTTTCAGCTGGTTTCTCCGAGAGTCTAATGAGCCATTTTTCATATTATTTGTGCACACTACTCTTAAGTGGTCTTTATGGTTCTTACATTGTATATGTGCTGCATATCAGTATGCAATACTTGCTAAGCTTCAAACTAAAGGGAAGAAAACACACTTGGCAAAAGTATATTTGTCAGTTCATATGTCTACATCTTTCTTCTTTTAATGGACTAGTTAAATAAAATCGATGAGAAAGCTTCTTTCTGTTTTACATAAATTACTGAGATTTGATGGTTACAGAGTCTAGTCCAGAAACTAGAATTATATTACAGCCATTATCTAATAATTTGCAAGACACAGACAGATAATAAAATAAACAGCTCACAAATAAAACCTCAATTTGAGTCATACAGCCTGTTAGACTGTTAAAATTGTAGTCATGTTTTTGTACATCTGAACTGTACTTGCACCAAAAAATGGATGTGAAAATACAACTTGGAAGCTTAAACATAAAATCCCATTTAATTTTCTAGAGATTGTTTCTGATTTTTTTCTTCATTGAAAGTAACCTGTATACTCAAAGCTTAGTAATCAAAAGGAAGTAAAAGTACAGCTTATTGATAGTCAGTTATTGAAGAGTTCACCTCTCTATGAAAGTAAAAATATATTTTTAAAATTTTCCTCCACTAATGCAGCTTGGAAAAATGCTTTTTCTAACACACTAATTTCAAGAAAATAATTTACACATTAAAAAAGTGTGAAATCCTGTTAACATCAAAAAATATCTTGATATTTAGAAGCAGTTTTGAAGCAATAAAATAAATATGTTAGGCTCCTAAGCTTGCAATCAATTCAAGCTTCAAGCATAAAACAACAAAATCACTCAAATAGCCTAGTATCTTCTAATTCACATTGTATATAAAAGTCAATCTATTCCTGAACCTACTATATATGAAAAATACTAGCCAAGTGGTTCTATGAAACAGAGTTCTTAGAATACACTTCTTCATTGTGTCTTTTACGTGGAACATAATTTATGTGGCCTTCTAAACCAAACGGTGTGGTTTCTGATTTTGTATATGTATTTGACAACTGATGTGTCTTCAGTTGTGAGTCAGGTAAGTGCTCCAAGTTTGCTGACTAAAAGACCAAAACAGCGTGTTTTCTCTTTATTTTCCATATTAAAGTTGGTCTAATACCTAACAGCAGAAAGAATTATATGTATAAAAAAACCACGCTTCTCAAAGACAGTGAGTTAACCTGTGAAAAGCAGCAAGGCACAATATTTTCTTCTTATTCACCAAAACAACCACTGAGTATGAAAACCAAATAAGAGTTACCATGCTGGAAACCCTCCCCCATGCATAAGATGTTCAAATGCTGCAATTTAGTGATACCTTTCATTAAAAAGGCTCTGTACACATAGTCCTAAATTTAATTTGTTTGCAAACATGACACCCTCATTTTTTTGGTGTGTTTTAGGACAGAAACAACAGGAAAAGATACTCTATTATTGATCATTGTGGACTAATAGCTGAAAGAAACCTGGAGTGTGGGCACAGCCTAATAGAAATATGCACAAATCCTACTTTTAGAATTTTACTAACCACATGGAAGGCAACACAGGGCTGCGCAAAACTACACCTAAGCAAGAAGGTGCACAAAATTCTTGTCTCATCACTGGTTTAGGCTGTGGGACAGAAAGAAGCAACATTTAGTAATGGGAATGGAGGGGACATTGACACTGTGTAGGTATGGAAAATTTGGAAGAATCTTGCTGGAAATAGCACCTGTGAGCATCACTGAAACCTGTTTACATGAAGGATACAAATGGGAAGGCTGGTGTGAGCATGGACGGGGGAAGAGAAAAGGGCTGCACCAGATGGATTGCTATTAACACTTCACTAGCTGGCTGTGGTCATTTTTTTCCTTGGCTATTTGGTCTAGTTTTTTCTGCAGAATTATGTAGTAGTGACTAAGAAAAAAAAAGAAAAGGTTGGTGGGAGATAGAATTTTCCTCTTTCATTACTTAGAACACCCTGTTCTCTGCTGAGAAGAGCACAGTGCCAGGCTGTGGGTGTTCTAGGAGCTATACTTAATACATCTTTTGTTATTCAGCATTTTTTAGTTGCTGTTGAACCACTCCTGTAGAAGAGAACACATACAGGCTTAGATATCACTGAGAAGAATTGCTCTCTGAAGTCTTATTTAAAGGTGTACAAAGAGTTTTCATCACAGCACTTTCTTTTTCACTCATGCAATTCCTACATCCTACACATACGGCAGTAATGAGTAAAGGTGCTAAAATATTAGAACTATACCAGTAATACAAGGAGAGCAAGGGCATGGATTTGAGCACAGTCCCATAGCTGTCTGTGCTATCTAATTATAAATATGATTCCAGGCATGGTATTAGCAACAGTGCTTTGCCCAGCCAGAGAACAGGCTTTCTCAGTTTACTAATGTAAGTGAAGCCCCACATGGTTTGGCAGGAAAGACTGGAGTATGATTAAGCCTATGGCATGTCAAATGGAATTCCTTCCTGAAGAGATTTGGAAAAGGAGGTAATTTGAAAAATTCTTGGTCCTTTGAATCCAGGCCCTTGCTACCACAAGGACCCCATTAGAGAAATATTTTCCCTAACCCTGCCAAGATTCTTCGATTTCTTGGTTTTGTTCCTGCCATTCCCACTGGAAAGATGTTCCAGAATGTGACCATTAATGCAGCCCTTTGCAAACTTTTCTCCTGAATACTCTCATTTATAACCTGATCCTACTATATTAGACAACATACAGCACCATGTTGCAGAAGCTCTGCTTCTGACTCCATAAGCCAGTCCCTGTTTTTCTCTGCTGCTTGCTTAGCTCTTTGATACTACGACTGGGAAATACTGCTCCAGTAGCTAAATTACCGGTGATTTCCACCTTCTCATTAGTTTTTGGGCCAACCTTTGGCTCAAAGTATTCCCTTTCCTCCTTTCTGTTTTTACCCGAGTAATGTATCTACATTCTCATATTCTCTATTCTTTAGCTTTGCTAAGCTTAATAGAACAGATTCTTACATGGAACAGATGCACATTTTTATCTGCGAGTTTTAAGCCTAATTTGGAAAGTATCATCTCCTCCTCTTATATTTTCACCCTGTGTTAGTTGGTGGAGAGCTCTGGGAGAGCTCCCTGACACACCAGCTGAATGCACTGATAAGGTATGTGTGACAGACAGCTCCGCGCTAGCTGAAATGTGGAATGTTTTCAAAAGTGCTAAACTCTGTAAAAAACTTTTCTAATTCTACTGTTGCAATAGTCTCCTGACTTTTGTCTCTGTTTGTGGTTCTACTTAGTGTTTGAAAATGGTTAGCAAAACTTTCATTCTGGCCCATCCTTCTCTGTAAATGTTAAAAATGATTCACACTTGGGTCCACTAACGCATGCAGGAATAGGGCTGGGACAACACCAGTGCAGTGGGTCTGCAGTTGGGTGTAGGAACAAAGGGAATGATAAAGGCAAGGCCAAGATTAGAAGGTTTGCTGCTGTGACTGCTCCCTGGCCTTCAGCTTCCTGCTCACAGAGCTTCCGAAATTCTGATGTTACGGATCTGTGATATCTCTGTGTGCAGCTGCTTTGTGTATGCTTTTGCCAGGCCTAATTTGCAACTTGCCTGTTCATGCTGGTTAAGTTTTGCATAGGCTCATTCTGGGCTTAAAGAAAAGCACAGGCCACTGCATGCAAGCATGCAAGTGGTCCTTTTAACATCTGGCTCGTTTAAAGTAGACCTAATTTAACCATATATCACAAAGTTAAATGTCTAACAGTAACAAAAAGCTTTATCCAGGAGACAGGTAAGATCCACTTACTATCCTAGCAGTGGACCATGACCCAGACAGTGCAGCAGATACCTGAAACGGAGTTAACAGTGACGTTTGCCACAGGAGCGAGAGACCTGCCCGTGAAATGGCAGATGTGACAAGTTCCCCTGTCACAACTGGAAAAGTTTTATTGCCCAACTCACTCACACCTGCTTCTGCCAAGCATGCCGTGGACAAGGATACAATGCTGGCTCACCACCTAGACAAGTTGAAATAGAGACGAGGAAGAGAGAAGCCTAAGGGACTGTCACAGGAGTAAGCAAAGCTGGCTGCCTCACTTAGCATCAGTTATACTCATTGGACTAGTATTTTTCCCCAAGTCACGTCCAGGTAAATGCACTGAAGTCATGCTAGGGAACAGCTTCTGTGGATTTAAAAGATTTCTTTTTCCCCAGTACAGTATTAAAAAAATAAAAGTTTCTTTTCAAAATACTGAAAATATATTTTAGTTAAGGTAAAAATACTAAATATAAAAATTTCAGGTAATATTTAAAATAACTGTGCTATAAAGAAAAGTAAATTGCTTAGTTATTTTGACATTCAATAATGGCACATTAACCTTAGTGGAGAGGCATGTGCTAGTAACCCCACATGGTGGTTTAGGAGAGAAGGTCATGCGTTTCTGCATAGAAAACAAGCCTGCTTATTAAGTGACATGTGAGGGATTTTGAGCATTATTGTTCATGCATTTGTGATGTATTGGGGGGTGTTGCAGGTAAGGCAGCACAGTATAGAGTACAATGCAGCACAAATACTTCTCTGTGCTAATTACAGGTATAGAATTCTCTGCTTCTGAACCAGAAATATTTTTTCTATTTTTGTTTTTGGCTGACAATGAGAATAGGTTGAAGGTGAAAATCTGTATTGATTTTCATTGGCTCTGCTCATGTCTTTGAGCTAGACATTAAAAATTATTTGGAATGAGATGAAGAAAATATGCTTGCAGCTGTTTCCAGAGGGGAACGATGGGTTAGACGATGGACTAGAACGTGTCTGCATTTCAACACAGAAAGACCATTTGGAAATTGAAGCAGTAAGAACAGGACAATTTTTTTGAAACATGCACACAAACACAGCTAGATAATAACTTGTTTGTGTATGAAAAAACCTAAAAGCTGAGACATTTCTTATGATCATCATCATCATAATCACTGTTCTTTTTATAGAACAACGAAATGATAAATTAATTCATCCAAATTTTCAAGTGGGGAAGCACCTGCATATATGCTATGGATGAACAGTAGCTGGCTGTATTAACATGTCTCAGTTAACTGCAGGTTGCAGAGATCTGGTATTTCATTGCCATTCTTTAAATATCACAGAATAATAACAATAATAAAGTACCAAATCATGCGTCAGCAGCTACAGAGAGAGAGATTGCATCATATTTTGGCAGTGACTCAATCATCAAACACTGGCAGCATTCAATATCAGAAGGATAAAATGGCAGCAAAACTGGTCAGCAGCTTCTCTTCATCTGGAGTTTTCCCAGGTAGATAAACAAAACAAAAACAAAATAAACATAAAGCTGCAACAGGAGCAGGTCAAAGCCCTGGCCCTTGCATTGCTCTGATAAAAGTAAACTAGATTGAATTCCATGGATAAGCACATCACAATCCCAAAATAAAAGGTAAGTGCATAAAACCTCCAAATAACAATCTTGCTAGGACAGCTACGTGGTTTGTATGGGACAGTGGCCTTGTCAGCTACATGTCTTGTTCATTTATCGTTCATCTTCAGTCAGCACTTATGATGCATTCACCTCACTGGAGTTTTGGCTGGATGGCACATGGCAGTCCAGATTCTCCTTGAATTTCTCCAGATCATGGAAATACGGGTGAGAAAGGGCAACATATGCAGATATTCTCTTGGCTGGGTTGAACGCTAAGCATTTCTGAAAGTAGGAAAAGAAGTTATTTTTAACTAAAATGTACAGTTAACAGCGCTATCATTGCATACACACATTAATGCATACCACCTTCAGTTAATGATCAGTATGAGACACAACAGGGTCTCAGAAAGTGGTGCAAAATGACCATCCATACTAAAACAAGCAGTAGAGTCACAGTATAAGAGTATAGCCACCTCAAAAATTACATGCTAGAAAATTCAAGTATTCACAGTTTATGAAATCCCAGCATACAGGTTTTCTTGAATTCACATGCACAGGACAGCCTTCATCTACTTATGTTGTGTGTTCAGTTTCTTCCTCTTCTTCCTAGCTGCACTTTGATGGCCCTCCTTCCAGATCTGTATCCCAGCCTCTGTCCAGCCAGCACTGAAATCTCTACCCCAGCCTTGCATTTACACATTGTTCTTTCTGTCATTCACCTCCATGTATTATTCTTCCTACTATTCTTGTCTAATCAATTCCTAGTCCTACTTTATTTTCTTGTATCGGAGCTTCTATCATTTAACTTCTGAAATTTAATTCAGTGACTTCCAGCTCTACTCTGCCTTTTCATCTGTGGCTCCCAGTTATCATCTCTGCCTAGCAGGAACAGGTTTCTTTCCTACATCACCTTCTAGGCATAGATATTGATCTCCTTCCTCCTTCCCTCCCTGCCTCCCCTCTTGCCTCACACTCATTGAGCTCTTAGCCATATATTATTCCTTACTGCTCCCAGAATCTAATTCTTGTCCCATGTTTAGCTTCCACTTCCAGGCTGTCTGCAAGCACAACAGATTTTTCTCATAGCAGTGTTTCTCCCTTGTCATTTCAAGAGTCCAGCTTTCCACAGCTGGGAGCTGCCATTATGAGGACACTGCAGGATCCTTAACTGTTGAGATAACCTTGGCCAGAGACAGAAGTTCCTGAAGAGATACATCAATTTTTTCAAGAATTGCACTACCTAGCTCATATGAACAAAAGTTACCTAGATTCCAACAAGCACAACAAGAAGCATATTGATGCAAGGTCATTCCCTATATTCCACATCAAGACTGAACTTCAGGACTGGAGTTTCTAATTATCTATAACAATGATGGAAATAGCTGTACCAGCCCAATTCTTTTGCTTCTGTTCAGCCTTGTCATTTGCAAGAGGCAGTAACTGGAGAATTCCAAGTGTCAAGTTTTCAGCATTCAGTAGAAGGCCAGCAGATGTAATTTGCCATTACAGCCTATTTCCCGCTTCATCCTGGGTCCGCACAATACCGCAAGAAATGGTTGATCCATTTTTGTACTCTCACAAGGCCAATCCTGTAAGAATGGCTGCATCAGTGGCACTGCAGTGGCCACTAATGAGGATTTAATCATAGGGTCTAACAACAGGTCAAACAGATATGTCCCTGACCCAGTTTCCTAATCTTGAGCTATTCTCAGCTCTGACACCTCTTGAGCCAAAGGCAGTGTCTCTGTGCTGTTGTTTCACAAATTAACACAAATTGTCTTATCTATTTTTGACTTTTTTTTACCAATTCCATTAAATGGAAACCTCATTTTTTCTTGGCAAGTTGCATGCACAGTGGGAACTATCAGTCATGTGAAGTGGGGGGAACAACAAATAGAAACTCACAAGAAGCAAGTCTTTGCCTACTTCATCAATATCTGGTACAAATTTTTCAATAGGTTGTGCGGGTCTGGAAGTAAAAGCATTTCTTGGAAGGGCAACATCATTAGGCCAGTCCTCTTCCTCTGGGAGTCCAATTACACTGTGAAATAAAAACATAATGTTAGGTCTCAACATTTATGCAGTTTTCCCTTCTTATTAATTACAATGAGTGGCATTTTGTAAGTATTTTTGATTAGATGAGCTTAAATGTTTAATTGTACAGTAGTGCAATAATCTCTGTGAATAGAACCTGATAAATGTAGGTCCTCAATTTGCTTGGTAGAAATAATTTTGTGGGTAGCACAATTTTCCGGCCTAAGTCTCAATCTTCTGAGTCTTTTTAATTGAAAAAAGGCTGAGTGCTTTAGAAAAAAGTTGCTTAGCTCTTGACTGGATGGTGCAACATATGTCACTCCAGGATGATTAAAAGCAGTAAGTTTCAAAGGGGAATTGCATGCAAGGATCTTTTTTCACAAGAATAGGGACTGAGAGAAGAGCGTGGGTCAAGATGAGGGTAAGGCAATAAAAGGGATGTTTCATAATGCTTCAAAGCTATGTGCAGTAATTGTTGCCCAAATTTAAACAATTTATTTGCTTCACAATACAGGTTTTAAAGTCTCAATTTAGAAGTGGAAAGGCACTTGAGTGTCTTTGTGGTTTTGTTTTCAATTGTATTTTAGTTTTTCTTTACTCTTTAATAGAATATTTTAGTTTCTTTAAATACTGTATTTCTTGATTCTCTAAATGATAAAAGAGATTTGTACTTATTAAATAATCATGCTGAGGTCTAAAACTCTAATTAATTAATTAGTAGGTAAACCACCAATGATGAAATATGTCATACATTTCACATTTTAGTCTAATGCTAGTATTTGTGGGGTTGAAAACCAGTTTCGGATGGAAATTCTAGAAAAGATCATACATTACTTGCTTGGTTTCAGGGAAAATAAATTTTTATAACCTGTAAAATCGAGATTTTCAATGGAAACGCTGACAGGGTAAGACAAGAAAGGACAGAAAAACAATGTCACTGAATATTGGGCCTGCACAAAGGCCAGTGCCACTAGGGAGCAGCATTGACCTTTTTTCTCACTGAGTTTGTGGCAAGGCTGGGTGAGGCCCTGGCCAACCCCACCGAGGTACATCACAGGTTACCCCAGCGAACGCAATGGAATTATCCCACCTCTACCTACATGGCTTTTAGATTGTAATTTGGCTCACCTAAAATACCACTGAAAATGAGTATGTCCTCAAAATAGCAGCATGGCTGGAAGGGCAAAGCAATTACAACCTCAGGACAATTAAATCCTACTACATCTGGACACATCACAGCTCTTGGGAAACGCTAAGTTAAATCTGTATGAAAAACCACACTTGCCATTTATCAGGTGCAGCGTGGGTATGGGGCAGCCCCCTTGGCTTTTTGATTAGATATTTCAGGATCTGGCCCCATATTAAATATAATACAAACAGCATCAGAGATGGGAGAGTTAAGTATTTGAAATAATAATGACATTTAACCTGTCATTCAAATGGGTTTGGTTAGTCCCACTGTTTTTAATGATTGCATGGCAGAACATGAGCAGGCCAGAATAAGCACAGGCACAGGCAAAGAATCCAGGAGGCAGCTTGCCAGAGAGGGGTGGGCTGGACAAGACAGAGTGGAAAGGAGAGACATTTTTGGTTACACACACGTAGTAAGCACTCAAAACCCCTTAATAATGAATGTGTGAGTAGCTGCTCCCACTCTAACAGTCTGGTAGTATCACTAGTATGTGGTAGTATGGTAGTATCACCATTTGAGTGACTAAGTTTGAGAATAGCTTGGATAAATTTCACCTCCTGCCAAAGGAGGTTCAGGCCTGGTCTTGAGAAATGCTGAGTACTTTCCACTCCCATTGATCACAATGGGAGACAAGTCTGTTCAAACCATTGCAGTTTAGCCTGAAATCTATGGGGATATGCCACATGATGCTAGTGTCCCAGAAAAGCAGGAAAATGTTCTGAGCCATGTATGAGGGATTTACCTTCATACATAGTGGAATTTTACTGACACAAATCATACTGCACATGCAAAGCAAAGGCAGACCACAGCCCCATTATCTGAAAGGATGCATCAGTCCAGATTGCACGAAAATCCTGACACTTCCTTCTGTCCAAACTGATCTCCAGAATGAGTCACTACTGTAGAAAGAAACAGCCCTCCTACAAGAAGAGCTAGGCCTAACTGTAGGGGGTTTTCCAGCTGTGAAAACACAAAATAAACACTCTTTGGCATAACCCCTCAGAACCCAAGACAGAAACTTTTCAACCACTTAGGAAGAACTGTACAAAAGAAGCAAACCCAAACTTTCTCTTTAAGTAGATGTGCAATAAGGAATTTCTTCTAAATTTAGCATGGCATTTTCTTTTCTTAGTGAATTCTTTTCTGCACAGGTAATCTCAGCCCCTAGGGATGGAAAGATCCCCGTTGGAGTCTGTCACTAGCAGCTATGCATTTAATCCCAGCCCAGTTCATTTTCATTTTCCTCTTAAATGTCATAAATGAAAGACATCACAGTTATGTCTTTCTTAATTGTAAAATATGCTGTACGTATCAAAGCTGTCTTCATTTAATAAAGCAGGATATTGCAGGACTGAAGTAGTACTTTTGGCAGAAGAAGAAAAAGTAAACTTTAAGGACTGACTTTTCTGGATTGGGCAGGAAGAGCTATTTAGCGCATGACAAATTAACCACACAAGTGAGTCACATACTCATGGTATGGTATGCAGGAAAGGGAAGTCAACTGTGTGAAATCAAGACCTGCAATTTAGAAATCCCACATTAAATAATGAAAATGTTTAGAAACAGATCTGTTATTATTTGAGAACTGAAAAAATGGTTAAACAGAGAAATTCATTAATTTGTTCAGTTTTAGCTTGTTTTAGAAATTGTACTATCTTCTCTTTGGAGTAACTTCAAGAAAATAACATTTTGGAATAATACTTCTCATTCTCTCTCCGTGCTATCTACTTCTTATTTCACTTGGATCCCTGGATCCCTGCAGCCTCTCCATACAGAAAGGGAAGACAGAGGTGCAGAGACAAACAGACATTCTTTCTCTGGATTTGTACCAGCTCTGTGTGGCTTTGATTTCCTAACTACATGGAATGTACATCAGATCTTATATTTACATGCCTCTTAAAAATGCAAAAATGTTCCTAACTCTGTAGAGCTTTAACAAGAAAAAGTAATATAATCCTACTTAATTATCATACTGGTAATATCAGTAACCTAATTTTGGATGAGAAATATTCCACCTCAGAGAGTTTAGAGTCTACCTGTCTCCTTAATAACGTATTTGATGTATCTGAAAAACACAAACACCTAGAACTGTACAATTGTTTTAAAATAGTCAATTCATCCCTGAGAAAGCATATGTTAAAATTAGCTCTCACCTTCCAGACCAAAATAAAGACTGTTAATAGGCTACACAATGTATTTTAAAAGCTAACATATTTTTGGATGCTTCGAAGTCTTCTCTGCAAAGATGCTGTTGGTAATAACCTTAGAGATTTCAGCTTTTAATGTATTCTAATGTTTTCTGCAATGCACAAAGAAATAAAACCAAAAAAATGTTTTGCAGAACTTTATTCCATGTTGCTTCCTCCTCCCACTGTGACACAGAATACACGGAAATATCATGTTGCAAATGGTAGTAATAGGAAATATGTTCTAGGAATACTTTGTTCTAGTCACATTATTGCACAAAAACATGGCAAAGAATCTCACAAGGTTCCAATGTTAAACAGATACTGACATAAGGCAACTGGTTATTACTCACTCAAAGATTTTTCCTAGTTGATCAACATCTGAATTTCCACGGAAGAGTGGTCTGAAAAAATAAATAAAAATATTTTTAGGATGTGACTTGCTTTAATTAATGTAAATTTACATATGTCATTGACAGTCGCCAATGTATGGTGAAAACGTGGGGGGTTTTTGAGACTTCATATCTTCTGCTTCCATGCTTTATCCAGTCTGTGAATGAACCTTTCAAGTTTCTACTAAAACTGGTAACAAAAGGGGACAGATGACACATACTTTTGAATACACTACTTTCAAAAATTTAATTCTGCCCTTTAGCACGAATGAAAAAATTTTACCTCAATTTACATTTTCCTATGAATTATATCATTAACAAAACAGTTTTTCACTAAAAGAATACTAAAATAGCTGCTGAGACAAAAATAAAGTGAATGTCATGCAATTCGCTAAAATGTAATAAAATTAGAGATTATTATGAATATAAATTGAAAATTAAATTTCTTGCATTCTGTATATTGGAAATGTGCTCCAAGGTTTAAGGGGTCAAATAAATGACAATGGATTCATGAAGGTCTGTAAACAATGGGGTGTGAAACGGTACAGAATTTACCTTGAAGTAGAGGAATACTTCTGCTGCATAAATAAAGATACATTCAGGAAAGAAACAAATTGTTAGGCTGAATGTCCAAAGGCTTAAAAATAAAACAAACAGTGACTAAAAATACTTTCATACACCTTTTCAAAGTGCAATTTAAAATATTTTCACTCATCATGTGTAAGATGCTATCACCACTGTGTGCTACCCCACAGTACCAATGTAAAATATGAAATTCTGATTTGTATGGCAGTATGGCTGTATTTACAGCTTTGTGTTGAACTCAGTAAGGTGTGAACAACAGTGCAATTTTATGTTGAAACTCCCAAGATATTCCAACATTTTACTGACAGATGAGTAAGGACCCAGCCAAGAATGAGGAATCTGTGAAGATCAGGCCACAGATGTCATGTACCATTTTGGTTCAACAAATGGTAGATTACTGCAAGAAACACAACTCACACACAACTGCAAACTGAGATAGTAACTTGGGTTGACTGATAGCCAGGCTGCCCTCTCGTCTGGATCTCGCCTCTCAAAGTACAGAGTATGTTGTAAACTCATGGTTACAGTTTCTGTAACTGTTCAACTGAGACACAGTGACTTGACAAACAATGCATAATCCCATGCTTTCATCAGCAGCCTTTGGTTATGGAGAAACACTCATTCTCCTGCCTCTCTCCACATAGTCCTTTTCTGTCTGATACAAGTCCTTGACACCAGTGATAGCCGAAGGCATCATTTCACTGCTGCTCTTCATAGGAAAAGATCTCTCCTATCTAGCCTGGAGAACAAAGAGTAGTCAGATATGTTCCTTCCCCTCTCACTGCCCATATGCAGGAGCAGGTGTAGGATCTGGACCTCCTTTTGCTAACCGTGAGTTAATACTGAAAAATGGCACTTCCCATCTTGACACTCTCACAAAGGCAGCAGAGCTCCATGTCACTGCATGTCTTGTGGGTCCATTCCAAATGCAGTAAATAGACACAGAGCACTGTGGCATTTCTTAGCTAGACATAACAATCTCTGCAGAAATCTGGGCCACCAAGAAAAAGCAGTGAACTGGCAGACACGCTGTTCTTTGATGAACTAAACATGCATTTTGCCTCCTTCTTGTGTGCTGCCATTCAGGACATGTCATACCAATGTATACTCCAAACTGCTCTGTGTAGGGATATTGAGAGAACAATTTAGTAACATCTGACTTGAAACCATCTGACATGAGATTTGATCTGATGGGGTAAAATGTGGTAGCCTGTTACTTGTCCATAAAGGGCTTTATTTATTTTGATTATGAATAAATCATAAATAATGGGATGTTTTGCTTCTCAGATACACATGATATTTACTAACTGTAGCCACTTTGACAAGATCATTGCAATTCATACTTTGGGATTTCTGGGTTTTTTTAAGCTTTAAGGTATATAGAAATACTGGCTTCTACAAAAACCCAACGCTCAACCCGCTCAGACAGAAGCATCTTCTTCTGCCCTAAGTTTCGAGCCTGATTTTCAGAACATTCAATAGTTACAATCCTAGCATTGCTTGTGGCAGCAGGCACACTCTATAACTTCCAAAGTCAAGCCATACTACAACCTAAGACATTTTTTAAGTACTGGTTGAAATTATTAATATCCAGTTACTTTGAATATTTAATCTTGGTTCCACCATTAGATTATTGGGGCCCTTTAAACTAACAAAATCTACACATTCAAATAATCGTATCTATGCAAATGGAAAGCTGATTTAATGTTTTAAAATGTATGCTGAACCTTGCATTAATGTGAAAGCCTGGCAAAGGCAGCCTTGTTCGCAAATCACCTTAGGCAGTGTCATGCCAAAACAAGTACAATTCTTGGGATTTTTAAGGAAGGATTTTCCCATCATTGCTGCTGTCTCAAATTCACTAAGGGCTGAAGCAAGAATTTAAATTCTTTTGAAAGTATAATTATACAACACAAGGTGACCTTCCAACATACTTTGGTATTTCATCATAATGAAGTGTTATTAATGCATCTTCCAGCCTCCTATCCATCCTACCATCATGACTACAACAGGATGCCAACTCCAGGTTAGGCATCACTAATGAAATTTGCCTCATGAAATCTGGCTCAAGGTTCAATTGGAATATTGGACAGATGATTGGGGAAATAGATTCACCTAATCAGCAGCTGTATCAGTCTATCTCATTTCACATTTTGGCACTAGTTATTCTTTTGTAATGACTTGACAGTTTTGCAAGTCCCATACACATAAAAGCTTTCACATGAAGACAATTTTTAAAGATTCTTAAAGATGGACATCAGCTCTTCACCTTTGTTCTTGGTATCTTTCACTTGATTCATACACCCACTCACTCCCTGAGGTTTATTTATGCAAGCTTGATCCAGAAGTCCTTTCTTGAGCGTATGTTCTCCTCTCTGTGATCATAATCTGTGTAAGCCTGGTTAAACTCTGGAGCCTGATTTTATAGAATTCCTTCTTTTTTTCTTCAGGAAAGGCATGGATCTGGGTTTATGTCCTCTGGCTTCAAAAAACACCTAAAATCTCTGAGTACATGTATCTCAGGACAGAGGGACATTCCCATGGATGTATCCCATGGGGATATACTATGTTCTTTGTGTGGTTCCTCAATCCTCTCAAACATCCCTGACTTTTCTTGCTGCAAAATCCATGCTCTGAAGGCTCCAACACCATTGTTGTGACAGAACACACACCAAGTAGGGAAGAAGATGGGACAAAAAGATTTGGAGTGCACCTATGACATTTAATTTCCCTGTTGACTCAAGAAGTCTCAAATGCTTCCCATGTGGCTTCTTTGATTTTTCAGGGCAACAGAATGAGGAAAATGTTAAAGGGAATACACGACTGTCCATCTTATTTGGCTACTTCTTTTCCTGGCCTTGGAGCTAGGCCATTTTCTACAGCCTCTGGAATGATGCCCACTGTATGGAGGAAACGCCTTTTTGTGTCTGCTGTAGGACCAGAATGCCCTTAACCTACAGATACGAAGCTATGACAAAGGCATTGTATTACTTACCCTGTCCTGCTAAAATAAATCCCTCCTGAGCCAATAAGCAAGTACCTTAGTTCCTGAGATACAAAATTTGCAGCTGCACAATTAAATGGGTATTAGCTATGAGTCTGCATTGTGAAAGCAGAAGAACAGGAACATCCTCTGAACATATACAATTTTTTACTGTGGGGGTGGCCAAACAATGTCTCAAAGAGGTTGTGGACCCTCCCACCCTGGAGATATTCAGAAGCCATTTGGAGATGGTCCTGGGCAACCTGCTCTAGGTGATCCTGCCTGGGTTTGGACCAGATGATACCCAGAGGTCCTTCCAATCTCAGGAATTCTGTGATTCTGTGATAGTACAGAAATAAAAATACAGATCACAACATAAGGTTGCAATAGAAAACCTACAAATCCTGAAATGTTACCATCTGCTTATAGTTTAAAAGGGCTTGCAACCTTAGTTTTCTGGACAAAAGGTTCTCATGCTTATATATAGCTGAACAAACTAGATTTAACCATTTACCAACTTTAGGCTCTTTTTCTCTTGTCCATGCCTTAACTTATGCTTTTGCTCATGCTCATGCTGAGTTTCACCTTCACTGAATATTCTTTCTATCTGACCTGGACATTAGTATCTGAAAAGTTGAGTACTTTATTTTACAGACATTGTGTTTCATGTCTGTACTACTTGGTAAAAACTGAGATATAAACATTTCCTAAGCAAGTCTCCACGAAAGAATTTTCCCTGGTGCAACGCTACAGACATGCCAAAGCAATTTTTAAAGTATTGTATACAATGACAATGCAATGACACGCAAGAGATAAATGAGTTTTAACTGTAAACTGGCCACATTACTTCTAGATTTTATCTTCAGTCTTTGGACTACGAAGCAAAGCGAATCTAAAGCTTTTCATAAGGAAAGTTAGAATTTTCATAAAGACTGCAATTAAAGATATTGATAAGCATTGTTCTAGTCAAACATAGTTTGCACAAGGAGAAAACCTAATAAAGCCACATGCATTGCAGCATAGGAAAAGATTTCTGCAGGTTTCTTGACAGTAGCTGACATTTTTAACTAATTAGTGACATTCTGATTGGAAACTATCTTTCCGTTTCTGACATTGGTCACAGAAAGGTTACTGTGAAGAAAGACTCTATTGAAGAGTGAAAAAAAAGGTAAGAAATTCACTTTCTTACCAAAACATACTACTGAGCTCTCATGACAGTTCTGGAATTGCCAATACAAGTGATTCCAAAGGCAGACAAGCCTAGAATCTTTCCAGATATGTAAGAAGTAACAAACAAAATCACTACCAAGATCCTTTCAGCTAATCCATTTGCTCATTGTGGTGACAACAGCAGTTAGGAATTCCATCCCCTTCCCTGTTATCACAGAAAAATGGTAAGGCTAATCTCTTAGTTGCTAACTTGAATACATACAATATTCTTAGT